CTGCTATTAATCACGGCTGCCGTAATGAAGTTAATGGTCTGGGATGTCTTCTAATTACATCTTCCCCAAACACAGCTCTGCCTCTGCCTTTGCCGAGGGGACTCGGGGTGGGTGACTCGAGCTCGGCACACCGCTGCTGGCTCAGACTTCTGAACTGGTTCCGGTTCACAGGGTGGTCTCAGCTGAACTCCTGCTTTTCCCCGGGCAGGCTGCCCAGGCAGCAGGACACCCTTGGTCACAGAGTGTTTCGAGGGAGACTTGTATTAGTGTCAGATTTATAACAGAGCCGTTTGCAAAAAATAATTCAGTTCAATCTTGGGCATCGGATGCAGCTGGAGAGCCCTCTGCGCTGGCATTCAGGTTTCTAAAAGAAAGCCAAATAGGCTTCCATTTTTCTTTAGACCCCAGCGCTGGGGATTCTCGCAAGGGGGGTGTAGTTTTTGTAACCACAGGAGATGAAAGGTGGGCGCAGCCTGGAGCATACCCCCAGCAAGAGCACCTCCCCCAGCATCCCAAACACAGGATTTTGAGAAAACGGCGGGAAGACTTCAAGAGCTGCTGAGGGCGATGCCAGCCCACGCTTCTGGAAGCTGAACGGGTGCCTCGAATGGTAAAAACATCGTTAAAACCGCAGTGGGGAAAAGCTGAACGGCGTCACCCTGAAAGATGCTTTAATTTTCTTCGTCTTCGCCAGCATTTTACAAAGCAGCGTTGAGTTGCTCAGACGCTGAAGGCTCCACAAGAGGTGGTATTTAATTGAGCTGGGGACTTTGTTTCTGGTTTGCCAAAACCAGATTCATCGCCGCCCTGCCTGGGCACCGGGGTAAAAGCAGCGGGTTTGCACAGAGCGCCTTCAGAAATTGGTGGGGGGTTGAGGTTTGGTTGGCGTTACTTTCCTCCCTGTCCCCCATTCTTCATACTTGAGCACTAAATCAACACCATATGATGTCTGGTTCATTTTCTCATTAGAGCAGCTCCATTAACCATGTAATTTCCCAGCACCACATCGCAGCCCTGCTGCTTCCCCACCGCCGCCCCAGCCACCGGGGTGTGCGTGTCTGAGCATCGGGGCTCTGCTTTCCACAGGGAAAAAAACCCAGTTTCCTCCTGGGGGTTTCTCTGGCTCCCAGGAGGCCTGGGGAGCGCGTCCTTCCCCACTGTGCCCCCCTGCCCTGGCTGCGTCCCCACCAGCCACCTACAGACCACCAGCCCACCACGGCCGCTACAGCCCCTGGGGGTCCCCTGGCGGCAGGGGGC